TATATATATATATATATATGTATTCTAACACTTTGCCTAAATTACTCTGATAAAACCTGTCTTAACTTGGAGATACTTGTTTTTTTTCAAATACGGTATCTATGGAAGTCTTAAAGATGAATTTTGACAATTATGAAGTGAACAATTAATTATCTGACCTGTAAAAAAATCTTAAAACAACATAATTTTGGAGAAACCGAGTTTATTTCTGAAAGGACTGATGAGCTAACAGTTTAGGAGGATTGTTGCCACATTAAAAGGATTCTGACCTCACAATAACCATAGCAGTTCAGTGCAAACATGATTTTTTTTTTTTACCAGTTTGCTGGAGGTATTATGTATCTTCTCTGGCCTGGAAATGCCTTGGGGTCTCCCAGGACAAGTTTAAATGTCGCTGAGGAGAGGGATGTCTGTGTTCCTCACCTGGACCTGTTGTCTCCACGACGCGATTATGGATAAATGGATGGATAGATGGATGAATGAATGGATGGATGGATGGATGGATTTTCAATATTTAATTGAAATTATGTAGTTGTATGTGCAAATTGCAGCAATAGCAGGAAGGTGTAGCACTTCAGATGTAGCCAGGTGTAAGTGTGAGGTTCTCCTGGTTAATGTTCTCACTTGCCTTTTGTTTTTTTTCTGGTTCTTCAGGTCATTCTTCCTGCCTGTTGTTCTTGAGTCGCCTCCTATGCTTGAACTTTACACCAGTGGTTCACTGAGCAGATAGTTTACATTTTTTCCTGCTAAAAATAGTGTGGTAAGACACTGTACTAATGGCAATGTAAAGGTTTAAATAATAACATTTTCATTAAGTATTGTGGAGTGGTGACACAGAGGTTAGAGAAGGTGGGCTTGTGATCAGAAGGTTGCCGGTTCAACCCCCTAGACTGTCAACATCAAAATGTGGGGAAGGGTGAAGCACCCACACCTGCCTACACCTTCATTTACCCCAATGTGGGCCCTTGAGCAAGGTCCTTAATCCCCACCATCTGATCCCCCAGGTGCCATAGATAGCAGCTCTCTGCTCCACAAAGCGGGCTGTGGTGGCTCGATGGTCAGTGGTTGCGTTAGGTAAGGTATCTAGCGTAAAAATAATTGCCAAGACTTCATGCGAGTTAGTTCGCTGTGGCGGCCCCTGAAGAAGGGAGCAGCTGAAAGAAGAAGATAGTTGGTTTGCTCTGGTGAGCTAACAATGCTCATCATTACAAAGTTTGTTCTGTCATCTTAAAAAAAAAAACTAAAATATATTTATTGCAATAGCAATTCATGCAATTGCTTCTTAATAAAAGCACATCGCTGTGTATTTCACATTTTACAGTAATAATTGCAGAAATATATAAAATCCTGCTCGAAACAAGCCCAGGCTGCACCGGGAGTTCTACAACTCATTTTTCTTGCTGCAGTTTGCAACGGTATATAATAATATTTTTTTTAAAATAGTGGAATGTGAAACTGACAGACATCTAAAAGCTTAAATAATATTATGGTCCAAGTGGGGCCAAGACCACTCAGACCAGCTGCTGGATTGAAAGTCCAGGCTGACAAAAACTCAGTTTTACCAATGTGATGCTGTGCAAAGAGCTTTCTACAACAAATGTATTTAATTATTTATTTGTTGTGGTTACACAAAATCTCACTCCAGTATGGCCAGTGTATCCCTTTACCAAAGTCCAGGGGTATAAACAGGCTTGTGCAGCGGCAGCAATGCAAACAAGCCATCACTGATATTGAAGACACTTGTCATATGGCTCAGCAGATGTAATTAAGAGCCCAGCACATGTCTGTGTGCACATCTAGATTGAACCGTGAGCAATCTGTAGTATTCTGTCATTCAAATGGTCCCTTATGTGCTTTCTGGCATCCAGCCCTCTATTCTCCCACTGGACTGAATGCTAAACAGCAGGAAATTAGGATCCTGGCAGCAGTTTAGAGTAATTTATTTATACCTTCCAAAAAATAAATTTATGTTAAAAACTGTTTAGTTATTTGGCTTACAATCAATTCTCCAATTAGTGTTATTTTTCTAAACAAGTGGCAGAACTATCCTGTGGTGTTTAATAGATGTTTGTAATCTAAATTAGGGAATCTCAAATTTATAAATGATTGAAATAAAAGTTTTAGGAGATGTGTTTTGATCCCTTTCAACAGGTGTGCGTCTGTTTTTTTGGTTTGTTTTACGATGGGTGCTTTTGTGCAGAGCTGTGACGTCTTTTTCAGACTTGGAAAAAATTGGACATTCCATGGTTTGTTTTTTATGATGCCAGAGCCAAAGCTTTACCCTCTGTTCTAGAGTTCAAACTATGCTTGTAGGACACATTCACTGTGTGAACACCCCAACAGGACAGAAAGGAACAGTTCTCATCCTGTTACAATCAGTGGCAAAGTGTCCCATCATGAGCTCCTGCAGTTTTCTTGATTGGACATTTAACAGGTGAACTCTTATTCCAATCAGGAAGAAAACTTTTTTTCCCCTCTC